CTTGCGTATTAAAACTCTAAGAGCCAAAATATAAAAATAAAAAATTCGTATGAAAAAACGGAGTTGAAAGAGATAAATATTTAGCCGAAAAGAAAAACCTGAAATTACATTGGATATATTGGGTTATTAACACGTAACGGTAATTTCGAAATTTGATAGCGATAGAAAAATAAAATACAAAACGATTTACTATTTAAACCGGTTTAACCCGAAGTTGAAGTTGAATTTCATAATTCGGTTCCGACCTTTATCTTCGTTTAATATAAATAATTTTGTCATGACTTTTGAGTTTTTTGAAAATTACGATATTTCGATAACTATTAGATGAATTTTATTCTATATATTCTTAGAATTGAAATAAAAAAAAAATATAGTAGTTGTTAAAATGGTTGGCTAAGAATGAATGGATTATAAAAGAACATTATTAATACGTAAGCACTTTGAATGTATAGTCAGCAGCATATATGTAATACAAACATTGATTACAAACCTAAATTTCTAATTTAAAACGAATTTCTAAGCAAAAACGAATTTCTAAAAAAAAATTAATTGTAAGCATGATAAGAAAAAAGTATAAATTCACAAGAATTTTATCAATCCATTCTAAACTAAAAATTTTAAATTTAACCTAAAAACATGACAAGTATAATTCGTATTGCTGGAATTTGTGGATCTCTTCGTAAAGAAAGTAGTAATAAAAAATTACTTCTTCGAGCTCAACAATTATGCTCTAAGCATGTACCCGAAGCTCGGATTGATATTATTGATTGGAATCAACTACCCGTTTATAATGAGGTACCTATTACTACATAATTAAAGATAAAATTTTCTTTATATATCTGATACGTAATAATCAATTAATAGGATTTGGAAGAAGATCCACCTAAATCGGTTCTTAAATTTAAAGAAGAAATCGGAGATTCTGATGCAATTCTTTTCGCTACGCCCGGTAAAGTTTAAATGAAATTTATTTAAGCGCATAGATTCAATTGTATAAAACTAACCTTTTTTATATTAATAATATAATAAAATTTATAGAATACAATTGGAGTGTTCCAGGTAAACAAAATTATTCAACTTTTTTTAATTCTATATATTTCGATTTTTTTACTTATCTATTATTTTTTTCATACTATTATTTACATGAATGATATCAAAGGTCCTTTAAAAAATGCAATCGATTGGGCAAGTAGAACAAAGCTTGGTAATCGTGGTGATGTTTTCGCCGGAAAACCTGTTGCGATCATTGGTGCTGGTCCTGGATCTTATCCAGGTGCTTCGGGATCCGGTCGTGCTCAACTAGTATTAAGACAAACTTTAGTTGTCTTGAATATGGTAGCAGTTAACATGTAAGTTTTGCTAAACAAAATAACAAAATAATAAAATAATAATTATAATTATTTGTCAAAGTAATTTTCAAATAAATAATGACATATTTTGTTTTCTTCTAATAATAGGCCATCTGTAATGTTAACTGGATCTTATAAGGCATTTAAAGAGGATGGAAGTTTAGAGAGTGAAGTAATTGAAGAAAAAATTGTACAAATATTGAAAGAACTTGTGAATTTAAACAATCGGTTAAAAATTACGGTATAATAATTGTGTATCAAAATAAATTTAATATGTATTTTTTTTTTTTTAATAATAATATATACAGTACTATAAACCATTAACTCGATTTTTAAATAATTTAACTAGTGTTGTCTATCAAAAATCTGAAAAATAATTGTGTAGTCCACCGCTATAAAATTTATCTCTTTTTTTTTTTTTTAGAAACACAAATTAATTCTGTCCTTGTAATAACATATAACTTCATAGTGTTTATTATGTTGAATGAGTTGAAAGTTTTATAATTAAAAAATTTTTTAAGGCTTCTAGCTCTATAACTTATTCTTTTTATCATTACTGTATCCTATCATTAATAACAGCCTCTTATAAATAAAAATTTTTAAGCATTAAACGAGAGACTAAACCCATTGTTGAATAATTAGATTATATGGGCTGCCGTCAATAGAAATCTAAGCAAATTTTTTCTAAGTAAATTTTTTTGAAACTTTAAATAACAATAACTTAATTAAATTTGATAAAGTTTTGTTTAAAAAATTTCAAAAAAATTTACTTAGAAAACATTTGCTTGATTTCTATTGACGACAGCTCATATGCGTGCGAGTACTGAACATCGCATCCGGTCATTTCTAATTATAATTTTTCTCGGTTGTCTTATCATGTGAATTACTCGAATTATCAGTGCTAATTTTAAATTCATATACGTACGTACGTACGTACCTGATTTTCTGGGGGAGATTACCAACCGTTAGCGTACAGTACCTCGTTATTAATTAAGCTCATGACTAGTTTTACCGAATCTCGTAGTAAAAGGGGTTCAAAAAATTTTTTAATATAATTAATATAATAAATATAGTACTAACTAAAAAAAACTTGTGGGACTGAAAATCCTACACGTTGCTCTTTTAGGTATGCATTGACTTAATGTATAAATATTGTCTCAATTCAATTTCCTCAAAAAAAAAAAAAAAAAAAGATGAACCGTTACTTTTCAAGAAAGTCGATTAGCCAGTTCACAAAGTCGGCCTTATCATATTTTATAATCGGAAGCACGACTATAGTTATTAGTGGGATAGCACTATTATATACGTTTCAATGTAGTATAATTTATACAGCTAATTATCCTAAAGGATCCAGAAAACATGTATGCATTAATTTCTTCAAGATTACGAAAAGTGCATTTGTCAAAAAGTGATTTAATAATTTTATGTAAATAATAATCACATGTTAATAAATAAATATGCATGACTAATTCATACGTATGTTCTCTTAAAATTAATTTTATTATGATAAATGCCTTAAATGTTTTTAATTATAGGTTCCGAAACCAACAGATTATGGTATGCTCTATATTAATGAACTTTTAGAAACAAAAGATGGTGTAAAAATTCGTGCTTATGTTTGTAAAAGGATTGAAGAAGATGCTAATACAAGACCTACTGTATTAATGCTTCATGTAAGTTCAATCTTTTTACTAAGTTTTCTTGTATGAGAGTTTTTAATAGAACTTTTCCTTTTTCTTTTTTTTTAAATAGGGAAGTGGCGGTAATATGGTATAGCCTGATTTATATTAGATTAATCTTATCATCCAATGCATCCGATTTAATAAGAATTGAATATAAATAACATAGGGCCATAGATTACCGATTGCTGAAAGTTTTTATAAGAATTTAAAATGTAATGTTATGTTGGTTTCTTATCGAGGGTGAGCAATCATTGTAATCTATATTTAATAAAATTTATCTTCACAATAAAACATAATTTTATTATGTAGATATGGTAGAAGTGATGGAACTCCTTCTGAAAATGGACTTCGTCTAGATGCGCAGGTCAATAATTATTATAAACATTCTATAAATTATATAAAGTTTTTAACCTTAATATTTTAACTAATAATAGGCAGCATTGGATTACATTAGAAAAGACAACATATTAAAAGATACGAAAGTAATAGTATATGGACAAGCGCTTGGTGGAGCTGTAGCAATCGATTTAGTTTCTAGAAATGAATCTAAAGTTGATGCTCTGATAATCGAAAATACTTTTTTGAGTATTGTAAGTTTATATATCAACTTTTATCATGCGATATATATATATATATTTATATTTACTTAAAGTATCATCCTTCAATAACCAACAGCCAAAAGTGATTCCTCATATTGTCCCATCACTTCGTTATTTAACCTTTATATGTTCCGAAATTTGGCCATCTGATAGTAACATAACAAAACTTCGATCAATTCCAATTTTATTTCTTTCGGGCTCAAAAGATGAACTTATTCCACCTCAACATATGAAAATTTTATATGAATTGGCGAATACTAGTGGTGGGAAAATGTTTCAGGAAATTGAAAATGGGTCACATTATGATACTGTTTCACAACCAGAGTATTTTTCAAAGATTGGTGAATTTTTTACACGGATGTTGGGTGAGGAACTCTATGAAAAAGATCAATTGCTTGATAATACAGAGATAGAGACACCTCTTTAAATGCACCTTTTTGCGTGCATTTATTGAGGGCAAATTATATAGTATGCATATTTAGCTTTAAGTTCTAAGCTTGAAACTTTAAAAAAATGATTAAAGAAAAGATGTGTATTTATGGAGAGTATATTCATGGAGGTTTTTATGCACTTATTCTATTCTAGTTATACTGTAAATACCATTTTTAATTAATAAAAATTTTTTAATCTAATTAATACAGTATATATGTTGTGCGTCGGATTATAATAATTTTAATCTAACATATACAGTATAAATCAAAACAACGTGTGAAATCATTGGCGTAAATTTAGTATTTTGCTGAAACCAAATCTTTAATTACAGGATAGACTTTTTTCCTTGACATTGCAATATTTTTTTGTTCATAAAATTTAATTACAACGTCCTTTTCTTCTCCATTACCTTTTCCATTTTCAAAATTTTTAATTTCCTTTAATCCAATAATCTCTTCAAACTTTTCCAAAATCTCTTTTTGGCAAAATGGCCCTTTTTTCGAATAAACTACTATTTCTCTTTTAAATCCTACATCACCTTTATAGTCGAACGCTAACATAATAATTTCTAAATCCAAATTTTTTTCCAGTGTAAACTTCTTCACAGATTCCATAAAATTCTCAATACCACCTTCTCGAAGAACCCAATCTTTTAATGTCCAAACCACAGAACTGATTCCCATAACACATTTTTTTGTTTCATTTCCCATTTCCAATTCTAAATTATATTCTTTATAATCTTTTCTTAACAAATCAAAATTTGAAAGATGAGAGATATTAAATTTTGAATTTTGAATCTCATTATAATAATCTTTAATAAATTTTTTACGATTCGGAGGGGATATAATATCTAACAAAAAATCTGTAGCTTCTTGATCTTTTTGAGTTGTTCTACCATATGAAGAATCCAATAATATAGTATCAATTAAAATTGGAGATAATAAAAAATTAGCAATTATTTTATTAAAATTTCTTGTATCATTATTAATTTTTATCAAATTTTCATTATCATTAAATTTCTTTTTCAAAATTTCTTTAAATTTTAAAACCACTAAAGATGTAGTAGATCCAACTCCTTCAATACATCTCTCTTTAATATTCATATATAAACCTTCATCTTGATGATGATCCAAGATTGTATTAACTTTATCCTCGAATTGTTTCCAAATTCCTATTAATTTATTATGATCTAAGAGGACTAAACCAAGGTTAAATGATGTTGAAACGGTAGATAAATGACTAGAAATATCATCCAAAAAAATCAAAGAGCTAGTGGAAATTTCACATTTTTTAAAAACGTAATCACATTCTGGACGTAAAGAAAAATCAGATCTTGGAATTTGAATGATTGGAAGGTATACAGTATCGAGAGGACAAAATTTGGCATTTAAATATGCGTAAGAGGTTGAACTCACAATGGAATCTAAATCTATTAAAAAAAAATGGTTATTGATTTTTTTTTAAAGAGTTTAATCATAATTTCAAAAACTAAATTCCTAAGTCACTACAATTAATTGGGGGTTTCAAAGTTAATAAATAAAATTAAATAGGATTTTTTAAATAGTATTTTTACTATGTTGACTTATAAATTGGAAAAATATTGTTTGATTTTAAACTTTGAAACCTCCCCTAATATTTTAAATATTTACTAACCAGCCGACTCATTTCCAAGAACAAAATAAACTTTTTTAATGGGATTTTCTTGAGCTTTTTTTATTGCTTTATTAATCAAAGTTTTCAGCACACTAGAAAAGTTAAAAAGTGTCATTTTCACAGTTTAGAAAAAATATAGTAACAAAGATAGTATATCGAAAATCATCCTAGTACGTATATATATCTGATATCAGATATGTACTGTACGTGCATGACCAAATCTGATACGTATACTATGTACGATTATCATAATTAATAACGATAAAGGCTAAAATATGAATAAATTATGAATTAAACTGAGAGAGCTCGTCAAATTTCCTTTGAAAACACGTTTTATGACAAAAGATATTTTATGCATTTCATTTTAAATCCAACTGAATTTCGTCATTATATTGAGTAGTATGTATTATTTAGAGTAAACTAATGTAGTCGTTAAACAAAAATTCGGCAGGCATGTGAATCCACAGAATCAGGTGTGACGTGAAAATAAAAACAATCGAATAAAGAGAAAGATTTAAAGTGTAAATACCTTAGGGTTAGAGTTAGGTTAGGTTTAATATATACAAAATTTTTGCAAAGAATTATTATTATTATTATTATTATTGCGAGTTTTCAAAAAAGCCTTATATTCTGATTGGTCAACAAACACGTGTCTGCCGAATTTTTTAGAAAAGATAAAAACTACAATATAGGATATTCTCAGAAGTGCAGACCTAAATTTTACGCATATGGGTGAGTTTTTTTCATTGAGTATTTGTAGAGCCATAATTTATCCGAAGCTACGCGATGTAAAGAATCTGGTAGAGAATTGAAAGTTCTTCGTGGCCAATTATTTTAATAGTTATAACGTTCTCCACTATCAATTATCGATGTTTCTTTCTAAGTTAGAGAGGTTCTTCGACTAGGAAGTTGGTGAATAGGATACATTTTGACATTGAAACACGTAACCGTTGACTATTCAGGCCGTGTTTATTTGTTGGTTAATGATTATGAAACACGTACTAATATTCTTTATTTTTATTATTACAGTAGTGGATCGGGTGACCGAGGGTCGACATCCTATATGAGGTTCAAGGCCTTGACGACAGTAAAAAAAACTATCAAAAAAAAAAAAAGAGGAAACCGAGATCTAAAAAAAAACAAAAAATCCGTAGTTGAAGAAGAACACATCGATGACAAAAGGTATTTTAATAAAAATTTAAACTGATGTAATATTTCAACTAGTTATAAAACAAAATAAGGAAAATAACGAATAGATTATCCAAAAACTGGATAATGTCGAAGACCTATTAATAAATGAACAAAAAAAAAAAAAATTCAAATGTTCATTGGCCTTAAACTTGAGGCGATGGACTTTGAATTAAAAAGTGAATCGGAATGCATCACATTTAAATGGGATGACAGACCGGAAAGAGATCAAAATGAAGGTATTTACCTTACCTTCAAAAGGTTCTCCAGATTACTGAATACAAAAAGTTAGAAATATATTACGTATGGGCGAAAATTTTTGATGGGAATGCTGTGATTATTAATATTAAGTGATATGATGGAATCGATAATTGAAATCGTTAAAAAAAAAAAAAAGTAGTGACAAGTATTATGTGACAATTTTATAGCTAAGAAAGAATTGGCCAATCAAATATAATTTTTGATTATAATTATTATCTTTATGCGTTCTTAAGCAATTTATACGTAGCTAAAAAATGCAATTGAATCAAAAAATTCCGCCCATATGTACAATAATTTCTTAATACGTATCGAGTATGATACCAATTAGATTAATTGGTACGTACGTACAACAGATGTTTTTTTTTCTTATATATTTAGTTTTTTTTTTTGTCAGCTGATGCTAAACGACAAAAAAAAAACTGTTAAAGTCCGGATACGTAGTAGAAAATCTGCGTAAAAATCTTGATAGAAAAATACGAAATTTATATGACGAGGACTACATTAAACCTTAATTCTGTAATTCTAAATCCACCAAAGTGTGGTACACGGGTCACTCGAATGCTCATTTTTATTTTGCTCCACTCGTGTATATAAGTTGTCTTAATAATTTTATACGTATCAATAAAGCTTGGTATTTACTTTTGCCTACGTATATGGAAAATTTTCACGCAGTCATGTGATATTATATTCTTTTTCACAATAACTATTAATCAAAATGCAACACGAACTAGACGTAAAGAAATCTTAGTTTGGTACTATTACACTGATAATTTTGAAAATAAATTATCGAAATTTGCCTTGAGTTGGGAGTTTCAGATAAAACAGCTACAGTAGCTATACAAAGAAATGTTGGAGCATCTACCATTACATCAGGAAACTTGCGTATTAAAACTCTAAGAGCCAAAATATAAAAATAAAAAATTCGTATGAAAAAACGGAGTTGAAAGAGATAAA